GCTGCCTCCTGCACACCCCCTACTGGGGATCGAGCCCACAACCCTGACATGTGCCCTGACCTGGAATTGAATGGTGACCTCCTGGTTCATAGGTTGACACTCAAACACTGAGCCACACCAACTGGGCCAGCCTGCGTTTCTTATACTTGTTGTCTCCTTTTCATATCCCAGGAGCAAGGGTTCCTGTGTGCTTGTCTTTGTGAAACACCAATGTAGGAGACCACCTTGTCAGGGTCCATTGCAGGCTCTTTTCTGGCTCAGGAACCAGGCCGAATTACAGGATGGAAAACTCATGAAAAAGCATGAAGGGAACAAGGAAACCTTTTCTTTCTACTTCCTGTCTTTGAAGCTGTGTGAGGCAGATGATTTCACTCCATATTTTTTGTTTTGTTTTGTTTTGTTTTCATTTTTTTTCACTCCATATTTAATTGAGGAAAACTTTACAAAGAAACTAGAGGCTCTGTGCATGAATTGGAGTATGGGTGGGGTCCCTAGGCAGGTGGAGAAGGGCCAGGATGTGATTGGCCCTCTGAGCAGGTAGTGAGATGCCCTTGCTGGCCCGGGATGCAGATCCGTCCTACTGATGTTTGCGCCATTTGTAGGAAGCCAACTTGTGGCCGCTTTTATATCCTTTCTTCAAGGGCGGGGAAGCAGCTGCTGTGCCCGAGGCCGACTTCAAGGAGGCCAGTGGCACTGCCAGGATCATGCTGGCTGCACTGGTGTCTGGCCTGTTCCTAGAGATTGAAGGTGCAGGACAACTGAGGGCGTGAATGCCTGTTGCCAGGCTAGTGGGCTGTCAGCTGAGCTGTGCTCCTGCTCTGGGAGAGCACTGACCATGACGGGGCATCTCCAGCATTGAGTGTCTGCCCCTTGGTATTCAATGCCTGTCATAACAACCAGATGAATCATTTGTTCTGGTTATTCTGGTCCTTCCATCATAAAGGTCGCTTAGACTTATATATATATAGACTAGAGGCCCAGTGCAAGAAATTCATGCACTTGGGGAAAGCAGGTTCCACAGCCTGGCCTGTGCCCTCTCACAGTTTGGGAGCCCCGCAATCAATTTCCCCAAAGTGGTAGGCCTTGCCCACCCATCAGGAGTTCCTCAATGGATTGTTCCAAAGAGGTAGGCCGGAGCAGGTAGACCAACTTCCATGGCTCCACAAGCACGCATCACCAGAACCCGTGCACACCCACTGTGCACCCATCCTCCTGGTGATAGACTGTGACAGCATAAGGGCATCACAGTGTGATGGTGTGAGGGTGTGATGACCATTTGCATACAAGCACTTTATTATATAGGATGTGGGCAGAGGTAGGCTGAGGTGCTCAGCAGACAGTGAGGGTTGAACACACAGGGACAGGGAGGGATGGAGCTCAGGTTCTGCAGTCAACACTGGGGCCTCCAGGTCCAGGGTGGAAGGAACCAGCAGGGAGGAGCTGCTGTGGGGTCAGGAGCCAGGACCCAGCCAGAGCTCGAAGAGGCTCTCCTTGTGGAGTCAGAGCCCAGCAGGAAACCTCTTCAGGCTGTGAGGAGACCCTGCAGTGTAAGCGGCCGCCAGAGCCACACCCAGGCTCCCCTTTACCTGTCCCCTGGCTCCTCCCCTGCACCTTCTGTTCTAGGGAAACCGAATGTGTCCCTAAGAGAGGATTAGAGAGCGTTACCTGTGGGCTGAAGTCCAGAGTGTCCTGGGAAGAGAAGAAAGATGCCACTTAAAGATATGAAGGTAAGTGTGTCCCCAAACACAGGGTCCCCGCCCAGGCCACCTGAGCTCCAGCAGTACCCCCACCCGCTGACACCAGAGCAGGACAAGAGCAGAGGCTGTGAGCAGTGACCCCGAAGTCATTACAGTTCAGTGTCAAGTTAGTGACTTCAGGGCCTGCTCCTCCCTGTACCCCAGGATCTGCACCCAAATCCCTGTGCGTGTTAACCCCTCTCTACCCCCACAGCCATGACTCCTCATGTCTCCACCCTGAGGACCGGGAGCTGGTTATTTCTGCATTTCCAGGGAACGTGAGACCCACAGGGAAATAGAGGCTTCTATGGCGTTGCCATACCCAGAGCTCACCCAGCAAAGCCCCAGGTCCCCCAACCGTCTCGGGGCCTTGGCTGCCAGCAGGCCCCTCACCTTTCTGAGCCCTGAAGTAGATGAGCAGCCCCGCCCCGAGGAAGAGCAGCCCCAGCATGAAGCCCCCGGCTCCACTCAGCATCTTGCTCTGGGCGGATCCAGACTGGGCCCCTGAGAGAAGAAGCTGGTTTCAATGGGTTTTAGCCCAAAGCAACTTCTCTAATGGAGACCCTGGGATTGAGAGCTAGGGGTGGGGGGGAGAAAGCAGGGAGGGAGCTGCCCTAGAAGAAGCAGAGAAAGCAGAAATTTCTGGGAACATGACCGACGTCACACTGAGCAGGTACAAGGCCCAGGCACTGGCCTCAGGTCCCCTCACTCCCAACCCAAGGCCACTGCTTTGGCCTCTGAGGCGGCTTTGCCCTGGGGCTGGTGACCTCCAGGACTTGGCGCGGGTGACAGAGCTACAGAGGGCAGAGCAGACGGGCCTCTCCCGCGGCACGAAGGTGCCCACACTGTGGAGGATGCTCCTCTTCCCAGATCACAGTGGGCAGCTCAGCGCAGGCAGAAGCACCCGCCCAGCCCACAGGGGATGGTGCCCAGGGCCAAGGGCACTATGACAGGGAGAGTGTGGGAATTCAGAGCAGGGCAGGCATGGCGGCCTCCCAGGGCTATGGGTGTCCACAGAAGTGATCACAGGGCTACCCTGTGGCTTGTGCTGAACAAGAGACACAAGCAAAGGAAAACGGAGTGTGGGGAGAGGGGACCGTGACCCTCAGGGACAAGAAAAGGCCCCTGTGGGGAGAGGCATGTGAGGTCAGAGGGCGTCTCACTCCATTCCACGGTGACAGGGCTGGGGCTGCTGGGGTGCTGCACTTGGCAGGTGTAGACCTCCCCGCTCCGGGGAACTGTCTCCAGCATCACCAGGATCTGGAAGGTCCAGTCCCCGTTCCGGATCAGGCCCGTGGACACCACCCCGGCCTCCTGTTCCTGGCCGTTGCGCAGCCAGCGGACCTCAATGTGTCCTGGAGAGAAGCCGTTGACGGAGCAGACCAGGAGGTTGTGGTGCTGCAGGCGCTGGGTCTTTGCAGGATACCCGGTCACTGTGGGCTCCGCTGGGACAGAGAAGGCGGAGGGAGACGTGAGCAAGACAGGCAGGCCCCTTGGTTGCCCCACTTCGGCCTCGTCTCCTGTCCCAGGCTCCAGGCCCGGGCAGCTCCACTCAACTGCCCTGTGGCCCCGCAGGAGGTAGTGCCATGGGCCTTGAATCTCCGTCTATATGACGGGCCACTGGATACGAGAAATGTTGAGGAAATTTGTGTGGGTTTTTTTTATTCCATAATTTGAAACAGTTACTCATTGTTGAATGAAGTGTTTACAAATCTTTGCGAGGCACAGAGTGTGTGAGTTCCAGTGTGATTTCTGGGGCAGGGCTGCCTGGTCACATCCAGGCTGTGCCTCTTACTGGCTGATCCTGGGGGATCCTCTCTGCTCAGCTCCTCACCTGCAAAGGGGGTGATAATGCTAACTCACCGCTTAAGGACATATGAGGACCAATGGGCCTGAAACATGTACAACAGCGGCTGGAACGTAGCCGTCACTGTATGTCAGCTGTTTATCACATATGGAGAGAGAACATAAGGAGAGCAGAGGGAGAAACTGGGGAAGAGCTTGGGGAGATGGGGACTCAGGGTGTGTAGTCCTGGGATTGTGATCACACCTGAGAACACAGAGATGGTTCCCCCGGAAGCAGGAAAGACGGGACATTCCCTAGCTCTGGGGCTGAGTCCTGAGGGAGAGGGAGGAGCAGGGCAGCACTCATAACACTCATAGTGACACTCACTGAGCAACCCGCTCCTTCTCAAAAGAAGCTGACCTGTTATTGGGATTCCTGTCATTTTATAATTGTCTGTCTTTTCCAGCTGACATTTGAGCTCAGGGCAGGGCTAGGACTGATTAATACGTGTGCTCCCTGCTGAGACCAGGCTCAATAAATATAGATTTGGAGGAGGAGAAGGAGAATAAACTTGGGGGAAACATTTTTACTGTATCCCAAAAGGGTATATTTAAGATTGATGGTAAGTCATTGCTAGCAACTTTGGAGTGCATTTCATTATCTTAAAGATGTTTAAATTGTTAACATGGAAAGAAATAAAACAGAATGAAATCACAAGCCAGGAGCAGGAGAAAATGCTGAATCCATGTTAGCAAAGTGTCCATCTTGCTGCCTAGAGAACCCGGAAATTCACTGAGAAAAAGGCCAGGACCCCAGGGAAGACGGACAATAGGCCATTCCTAGAGCAGGAACAGCCATTAGCCAACACATATGTGAAAACTGTTCAAGATCCTTAGAAATCAAAGGTGGTTAAATTAAATATAAAAAAACAAATTTTCTAATGAGTATTTGGCAATATTGAAAAAATATTTAACAAAATAGAATGTGAGGTAAATTGTCTCAACTCTTAACAGTTAACATCTGATTACTTAAATGCTGTCAGCCTGTGTAGATGTGACATCAGTGTGTTAAGTAACACAATTACAATGAGACCCTGGCTCCCCATCACCCCCTCTGTAAACACAGGGCACTGAGGGGGGGACAAGACACTGAGACCTGACAGGAGCTCAGAGAGGCCAGAGGTGCCTCGGAGGCCCCGCCCCTCACACCCAGCCTGACCCTCCACACAGGGACAGGCCTGTGCACCCAGCACCCCATTCCAGGGCTCAGGGTCAGGGGGGGTTTGGCCAAGACAGACCGACTCCCTCCTCCCACCTCCCACCTCTCTCCCTCCTCGCTGCTCCCCAAACCCTCCCCCCACTGGACAGGACTGGGCACCCCCGGAAATGCCCTACACAGGACAGGACCTCAGGGTCCCCACTGCTGCCCTCAGGCCCCTCAGGGTGCTCCTCACAGCCCTGTGTGCGCACCCCCGGCCCCGCTCCCACTCCCACCCTCTCCCCTACCCCCTCGCTCACTTTGCCATTGCATCAGGTATTTGTCAGACACCTCGTAGTTGTACATGCAGAGCTTGTCCACCTGGGCCCGTGCATCCTCCAGGATGTCCTCCTGGCTGTTCCAGTACTCAGCGTCGGGCCGCCCCAGCTCAGTCAGCGCTCGGTACTCCCCCACGTCGCTGTCGAAGCGCACGCCCTCCTGCCCATTGTAGATGTATCTGTCCAGGAACCGCACCCGCTCCGTCCCGTTGGAGAAATGACACTCGGACTTGGCCTGCCCCAGGAAATGCGCTGCGGGGACAGGAAGGACCCATCACCCTGGTGAGAGAGGATGGCCATGCTGCCCAGTGCGGGGAGCCAGGCGGTGGGGACACAGGACCCGGCACCACCACTGCCAGCGCCGGGGCCCCTCCTCTAGGGCTGGGAGGCCACAGGGCAGGGAGACCCCTGGGACCCTCAGCCACTGAGCACCCACTGGGCTGCCCCGCGGGCTCCGGGCTCCAGGCTGGGAAGGACTTGTGCCATCACCGCCTCCTCCTAGACGCCCCCCCTCCTCACCCCCAGCCTCTCCCTCA